ATATATATATATATATATATATATATATATATATATATATATATATATATATATATATATATATATGTGTGTGTGTGTGTGTGTGTGTGTGTGTAAAGTAAAAAAATTAATCTTGAAATCCACTAGCATAAACTGATAATTAATCCTTCCTTCATAAATTTTGCATTTCGATGAGGAAATAATTACTCTTTTTGAAGCCTAAAACTCCTCTTTGCACCAAGATGATTCCTGCACACCTCCTAATGAACAGTAGGCACATTTTCAAGCAAAGGTAGTTTTTACACCTCTACTGTGGGGTAAAATCAAACTAACATGTACAATATTACTAGTGACTCACCACAGCAGGAAGTCATGCTGGGATGTTCCAGCCAACATAAGTTAGTTGGCAATTTGATAACCTAGACCCTCAAAAACAGTTCTTTGTAATAAAACACGGTGTGAAGATTCAACGACATCACACCGTGAGGCAGCCTCAGGCAAACAACTCCCCCTTCTCCTTTATTCTTGACATGCACTCCTCTTGCCCTCTTTCATATAGTCATCATTTTCTCTCATTATCTGTTCCCCTCCTCCTCACATCCTGCACATCATTTTCCTTTGCCTTTGGATCATGCACCTATCCTCTACTTTGGGTGCTTGTCTTTTCTGCCAGTAGGTTAACCTAATTTACTGAGGAACCTAGTTGTTTTTCCAATCCCTGCAGCTGCAATGTCATTTTGAATAATAAAATTATTTTCAGATAAAAATGTCTACTATAAAACTCTTTGATCACAGCTTTAAAAATATGGCAGCAGTTGATGCATAGCCTGCAGCTCAAAAATGGTTAAATATGGGTGTTTATCATGAGAGAGATGTTTCCACAGGTAGGTTTTTTGACTATTGAAACAATTTAATTCTTCCCATTATCATATTTTTATTTATTTATTTAATGGACAGAGAACATTAATGAACAAACTTATACTTCTGCACAGATTGTTAATGAGCCAGATTATAGCGTAGTTGCTAATTTACATCTGTCGTCCTGATGCAGGAAGACAAAACAACACAAGATCACTTACCGGTAATACAATATCAAAACACATAGACACACATTCAGACAATGACATTACAACAATAAAATTAGTGAGTGCATGACTGGGAACTTTTAAGAAACTGTTTAAGGTGCTTTTTAAATGTGCAATAAGTGGGACATTCCCTGATGTTTGTTGGGAGGATGTTCCAGAAGTGACCCCCTCTGACTGATAAAACAGTATGTCTGACAGAACACCATATGTGCCTCATACCACAAACTATTTTCTATTGTATCACAATGAACCACTTCCGTGGGGGTAGTATAATTAACAGTTTAAGATAAAACCATTAGAGGAGTTCCATGCAATCTTCTTCTGAAAGAAGAATCTAGTGCATCCACATGCTCTCAGAAGTGTCCATTTTGGTAAATAATATCTGCTTGTAGGTTATTCAACCTTAGTAAAGCTAATATTTAAAAGGTCTCAGAGGTCTTTTAGAGAATATCAGAAACCAACAGTATCATGAAAAACAGTTAAAGCAAGAATGAGAAGGTGGGCACATTCAAAGCACAGTTAGGTTATGAAAATATGATTAGTGTAATATCTTAAGATTTTCAAAATTTGATTTATTCTTATTTAATTAGTATGTGGAACGGTTTGATATCTGGTCACCCGCCTAATCTATCAGCCCAAACAACTGAACTGAGGAATAACCTAATTCAGAATAACAACAATTCCACTTTAGACACAGCTGAAAGTCCTAGAAAGTCCCTGGTATATAGCAGTTTTTAACCAATAAGCATTGCTGAAAGGAAGATTATCCAACAATATCCAGAAAATAAAATTCTAACCATAAAATATCGTGTGGCATCATCATGTTCTGAGGGTGTTTTTCAGCCAATACTGAAAGGAAATATACAATATAACAAAAGTTAACATCAGGCAGCGCATTTACCTACCTGCTGGAAAAACAATCTTAAAAATACAGCTATTGCTGAAATGGGATGTTTGTTTTTTTTTAAATGAATTAATTCCCAGCTTAAATCCAATTAAGAGTATGTATCAAACTTGGAGGTTGCTTAGAAGTTCACCGAGGTTCTCCATCAACCAATAAGAAAGTTATTTAGCAATAACTAACAGGAAGAAAATCAAACTCCATATACCTTTTTGTACTAAAGACATATCCCAAAGATATCTGGGTAAATTTAAGGTAAAATGTGGTTCTATGTTTTTTATTTACATTTATGCACTGCTTTGTGTGTGTTTAACACAAAGAATCCATCTCAATAAAAAAACATAGAGGTTTGTGCTTGCATTGTAAAAAACTGTGAAAAAATAAAAAATAAAAATCACACTACCACTTATGTAGAAGACCATACAGGGCAATATGCTCCAGGCTAGTCATGTTAAAAAGGACTGATTTAAGATTTCGCTTCAGGAATAAAGCTATGCTTTTACAAGCAACCCCATCTTCTGGCTTCAGAACAAAGCTTTAGAGGCCTGTACTAAGGCATCTCACTACAAACACTACATTATAAATTTATTGAAAACAGATATCACCACAGCACCCATAAACCCCTTGAGAAGACCACATAATTTACAATACTTTTTTATTCATCTTTAACACAGCTGGAGCCCCATTACCCAGCAATGCACAACATGTAATCACAGAAAGAAAAATTATATTTTCAAATATATGTAATGTAATGTAATAAAAATCTTCACAGCTTTAACTATGTTTCAAGAAATGTATTTATAAGTCTGTGACATCTTGTTTTTTTAGAATAAAGAGGTTTTAATCTGCAGGAGAAAATGTTCAAAACAGAAAGTAAGCAGTATCCTTACTTTACTGTGATTTTCAAAAACCTTTAGGGAGGTAAGCATCCCTGAATAAAGAAGCCTTAATCTTCTTTTGTGTCTTATAAATGTCCAGTTTAAAGAAGAAAAGAAGCCTAATCAGAACAAAACCAGACAAGTGCTGAATTTGATGGTCTATGCTTGCCTTATTACAGTCTACTCATCATTCTAATTAACAGCACACAGCACACACCTCTCTACACATAATAGGGCATGCTCTCCGATCACCCTAATTACTTTTGACGCATTGGAGGATGTGATCGCAGTGTGCCTGCCACCTCCTGCGGAGGTGCAGCTCCTCAAACAGCACTACATCCCTGAATGGAGCCAAAACCCATTTTATGGCAGAAGAAACAACAGGTAAAATCTATAGCAGTGAATGAAGCTGTTAAATCAGTCTTGTGACCCATGAGGGAGAAAGGGAAGTATTTCATTAGTAGATGCTGGAGTGAAAGTAAGTCTGCTATTCTGGCCTGTCTCTTTCATTCCATAAACATGATGTATAAGTGTTGGAGGTCAAACAAAAAGTGAGGTCAGTTCATCTTTTGCTAATTAGTGAAGTGTGTTCCAAACAGATTAGACTGAGGCTCTGCAACACTGCAATTAGACCTGATGTGCATGTCGGCGAGTGTGTTCGAGGGTGTTCATGTATAGTATGTTTTTAATGTTCAGTGACAAAACAGAATCAAAAATCACTTTAGGAGCAATGCACAATTCAGCACCTGCTATAATAATGCTCAAACCTGGTAGAAAGTTATAAGAAAAAATGTAAAATACTTTAATATTTACTTTGAAGCAGTTGCATACAGGTTATTTACAAATCAGCTCAGCTCTTAAAATAATCTTTTCTACACATGATTTAAACTAATTTAAAACATATATTTTTTTCATTTTGTGTTGATGCATATGGAGCCTAGGCAGAAGTTCAACTGAAGAAACTCATTCCTTTCCTACATCCACCTGCAACACAGCCAATCACTTTTGAACCACACCTCCGCAAAAGCCAATCGGGATCCAAAGCTCATCTTAAAAGGCCTCCGATACGCACTTGTCTGCTCCTGTGCGCAGGCGGCGGATGCGCTGTACGACTTCGTTCAGATGACACCTTTTCAACGCACCTCCAGCCCCTCCTCCACCATCGTAGCTAAAGCTTCATCAGTGTCATTCCTCCTGGACTCTTACTGCGTTGCCTGTCTCATCTTAACCAGTTTGGCAGAAGACCGCCATGTTGAGCCTGGTTCTGCTAGAGGTTTCTTCCCAATGGGAAGTTTGTCCTCTCCACTGTCGCTTTATGCTCGCTCATCATGGACAGGTTCTCTCAACCTGTGTTATCCAACTGGACTTCCATCTCCCAGGTCCCTGAGTCAAGCTCTAGTATCAGCTTCCGCAATCCACTGGATCTCCCCATAAAGCACAGTATACAGTACCGTCTCACTAACCAGCAGTCTACAGACTGACCAACTTCCTCTATCTCCACTCCACCACCAGTTTCAGGCCTGGGGGGGAAACAGCCCTATTCGTTGCTCCTGTTCATGCATATCCATCAAAATTAAGTGCTATGTGTCCTGCCGAGGTCTGAATGCCAAAGACAAAGTAATTGTATCAATAAAATTCTCCTAATTGTCTTATCTCCTCGTGTGAGTTATGAGGCGAGCTTTCAACTGCATGGTCAGGACAGTGCATAAGGTCATATATTTACCAGTTGCATGGGTTGCTGCATCTGCTAAATAATTAAAATAGCAGAAAAAAATCAAGCCTTTATCATTATCCTTGACATTATGTAAATTGCCAATACTGAGGAAAAGTTATACACACACTTACTATCCATAATGCTATTTTTTCAAATACATTGCAAGTGTAATACCAGCATCTATATTTAGCACATTTGAAAGTTAGGTGGAAACTTGCATACAAAAATGCATGAAAGCCATTTTTTCGTAGGCACAGCAGATCTTCAAAGAGGTTGTAAATCAATTTACAACTTCAAAGAAGTTGTAAATTGATTGGCGCTTGCAATTTAGCAGATAGCATGTGCAATCTATTTTTTTACATGTGTGGAATCATTAATACACAAATCATATTCTAATGACCAAACTGCATAAATACAAGGGCGGGGCGATATGCAAATAAACATTTACCACGTGCAAAGTGACTTTCCAAATCACAGATCTAATTTATGTGTTTTTTTTTTATTTTTCAGAAAGCAAAGTGTAAACTTACACAAAAAAATATTGGTAAAATGTCAGAAGACGAAGACATATTCTGAGCATACATAAACATATTTGGACTATCAAATACAACAGTAGTAGGATAATATCAAAGAAAAAGATATCTAAAGGCCAGCACAGATACAGCGAGATGGCAGACAAACTGTATAAAGTTAAACCATATGTAGAAACAATATAAAATAGAATATCAAAAGAGCCTACAAGAGACACACTCTTTTTTTTTATCGTTTAAGATCAGGACCTATTGGTTCTGGCGCAGTCTTTGTAATTTTTGCATGTAATCAGTTGTTTGCAAAGGCAATTTATTACATGTTATTTGGGATCTTAGCACATCAGACCTAAGTGTTATTGCTAACAGAAGGTGGCTGCAGTACATCAGCTGGTTCATATGTTTGTGATTGTTTAGCTGGCTATTTTCTAGCAACCTGAAAGGGAGATGCTACAAAACAAGCATGTCTCTGCTTTGAGTATATCTTCAAATGGTTCCAAAAAAATTTCTACCAAAAAAGGTTTTGATATCCTGTGAAAGAGTTCAATGTTCCTGAGTCTAAGGCTGCAAATAACGATTGTTTTGTAAATCGATTAATCTGTCGATTATTTTTCGATGAATCGATTAATAATCGGATACTAAAGGTTCCTTAAAGAAGATTTTTGACGAAATTAAACCAGGTGAAACAAGCGTTTCCACTTCAGGAGTTCTGGATCGAGCATATTGACGCACAAAAAAGTTTTTATTTTAAATCACGTTTAATCCGATTAACTGTTTCAGCCCTACCTGAGCCACTTTTCAAAATAGGAAGGACGAGATAACATCACATTCGGATCAGTTGCTCGTCTTAAAATATTCATAAAAAATAAAAAACTCTAAGAACAAAACAGCTCAACAAAATGTTTTTATGCCTACAGTATAAGCACAAAAATAAAGTTTAAAGACCAGGAACTGATAGAAACAAAGTTAAAGGAAGATAAGGGTTAATCTTATTTAATGTAACAAGCACAGAAAGGGAGGAATATAAAAAGAAAAATGATCTTCATTGGAGAAATAATGCATATTTTCCAGTGTGACTGGTGGGAAAATATCTGAGAATAATTTTTAACAAGCTGCACATAGCTATTTGCTTTTTTTCTCTTATTTTATATCCATATATTATATAATAATATTAGGAAGCCCCTAAGAAAAAGATATTACATCTTAAAATAACGAACCCCTTATTGTGAAATTAAATTCACTTGGACAGCATGATGTGTATTACATAAACTGTATAATTGTTTGCCAAAGAGTGAAGGGCAAACATTTTTGCAGTAAAATTGATAACCGTAGTTAAGGAAGCAAACCAAAATAACACAGATTCACAGATAAACACAAACCCGAAGGACATAAAAGCCCTCCTGGGGAAAAAGGTGTCACAGTGACCGCAGTGAAACTCATTGACTGATCAGGCATTCAGGTGGAATGATGGCATCATTCTAGAACAATTCACTCAAGGGGGAACACTTTTAGATGCAGATGCTCACTTAGGCAAATTAACCATCTATGTCCTGGTCTACAATGTCTATCACAAAGTTTATGTGTATCGCATATATTCGAGATGCAAGGTGTGCAGAACTTGTGAATATGTATATGACATATTTTATGGACAGTTATGAGGTACATAAAGACACATATTTCAAATATAAATTACTGTAAAAGCTGAAATCCAACCTAGAAAAACAACACAATATACGGGATCCCATGAAATAACAGGAAAATATACAGCTGGTGTCAGAACTCTTATCTGCACAAGTCCCCATAATCAAAATAAAGTGTTTCACAAAAAGCTTTTACATTTTCTCCCAATAATCCCAACATTCAAACATCACTCTAAAAAACTGCCTAATTGGAGAATCCAGCTGTCTTATAATAGTCTGCTCAGCGGTTTAAAAACACACCGTATCAGCAGAAATAGACCCAACCACACAACTGCAGTTACACAAAAAGTTGCATATGCTGAGTAAAGTGAGTAGAAAAGAGTCTAATCAGGAATTACAATAGAAAGTTTTATTTATTTATTTTTTATAGGTAAACTTTAGTGTACTTTAAATAATATTAGTTACACTGCTTAATCAAAAACTGTTTGTATTTGAAAATGTTCTAACTTCGTTTAGGGGCAAGCAGAGTCACTAGCTGTATTTCCATTAACAACAAAATTGTAATTACGAAAATAAATTTGCTAAATGGAAACACTGCAACACAAAAACTCAAAATTTTCCCCAAAAAAAAAAAAAAGTTTTAAAGCTTTGATTTTTTTTTTTGGGACGAATCGAAATGGAAACACTTTTTTCCCATGACATAAGTCACTTGATCTGCAACTGGGCCTTAGTACTATAAAGAAAGACAAAGAAGAAGTATTTGGAGGATGATGGCGCCCACTACAGCCATGGCTGACATAAGGATATGTATATATAATTATTTTATTTTAAGAGTTGTTGTTTTTCTTTCAGACCAAAATCAAGACTGCACACTCCAAGACCATGACCAAGCCAAGAAAAAATATGGCAATCTTTGTCATTCTAACTGATGATGACAATATAGAATAGAATAGAATAGAATAGAATAGAATAGAATAGAATAGAATAGAAAATTCCTTTATTGTCCCACGATGGGGAAATTCTAGTGTTTACAGCAGCAAAAAGATTATAGAAATAATTGTCACACAAATGTGGACCTTAGAAAAATGTATAAGAATAACATAATAGCCAAGAGTTAAAAGATAAACAAAAAAATACTGTACAGTAAAGTGCTTTAACAATATAAAAACTGTGCACCTGAAGAATTTGTAACCAATATACAGCATTTTTGCAAAAATGGATATTTGAAAATAGCAGCAACGTCAGAGATGTGCAAAATGACAGAAGCATGTTATTCAACTAAGGTAGAAACTGCAAAATCAGCATAAATATAACAACTAATTGAGGTTGTGATGGTTATAAAGTCTTACAGCTGCTGGGAGGAAGGATCTGTGATAACGCTCCCTGGTGCATTTAAGGTGCAGCAGTCTGTCACTGAAGGAGCTCTCCAGTTCTGCAACAGCTTCATACATGGGGTGGGAGACATTATCCAGCAGAGATGTTAATTTAGTTAGGATCCTTTTGTTTCCAACCTCCTGCACTGAGTCCAGAGGGCATCCAATCACAGAGAAGGAATCACCTTCCTGATCAGTTTATCCAGCCGCTTTCTCTTGGCTACAGATAAACCACTGCTCCAACACACAGCTCCATAATGCTTTGCGAGGAGAGCTCTCCTCGCAAAGCATTCCGGGATATATCTGCTTCTTTAGAGGCCATAGCTAATGGAACAAGCACGTAGTACTGCCTTATGTAAACATATCACCATAATGATTGACAATTAGGAGGACCACTTATTTAGATGATCCACCCGGAAATAAAAGATCGTCCTCTAAAGCTTTAATAAATGTTGGGTTTAGGCAGGGAAGTGTTTTTTTAGGAGCAGTGGCTTGTTTCTCAGTGAAAACAGGATTTTAGTAATGTTTAATATTTTTACAAGTAAGGCTGCACTGTTAGATGGTGCTCTACAATATCTACACATACATGAATGATAAACATAAAAAAAGAGTATAAAAATGTGTTGCTAATATAGGAAAACCCATTGATATTCTAACTCTTAACTCTTCATAATAATCATTCTTTTTGCCAATTTTATTAGTGATTATTGTGACATAGCATTTGCCACTGAGGTGAATGGGAAATCTTTAAAATTAACAAAGGAGAGAGACAGAGAAGGAGAGGAGAGAAATTCAGGGCATACTGTAGAATTATGGGCCCTTGGCTGGTCCCCTACAATTCCTTTTTAAACATCAATCTTTGTAATAAAATATTCTTTCTGTCATTATTTGTGGACATAAGATTTACTT